GATTACCGCACAACCAGCCATCCGGGGCGGTGGAGTGGATCCTAGTGAACTATCATGAAAACAACCGGAAGATGGTGAACACGCCTAATATTGCTCCCAAACCATAAACGAGGCTACCACGATTTGTACCGTACAATACGGGCGGGAGGGGGTGGGGGTGGGGGATAAGGAAACTCTACGCGTCTATTGGTGCATACTGCTGCACTTGGCAGCCGCCAACACTCTAGCAGGTATCTTAGTAATCACCACATTCTCCCCTATTGTTTATTAAGCCGTCACAGACCGTCACTCATCTATCCAGACTATCCTGTTGATTATTTAGAAGAAGAGGTGGGAGTATGCCCAACTGTTATACACAAAAAGAACCAGCCACTGTTTTTCCAGGCTCACACTTCCTCACTTGCCGCCTCACCCGCCACATTATCAATTGACATGCTATCCTGCGGCCCACTATCCCCAATATGGAAGGACGCTCCAACACCTTGGATTGGAACCGCCACCCAACTAGCATACGACAGGAACACAATACAATACGACACGGCAGCCTAAAACGAACCCGCCAGACACTACTATCCCAGCCAGTACGAAAATGAAAAACACTCTTTAGGCCCCAATGGGCAGGTATGGTAAGAATAAGAAGGGGGGGAGTACTAGTACAGTACAAACATTCCGCACAGAAGGGAAAAATAAAATCCGGCTAAATCCCTTTAAGTGCACAAATACTCCCCCTCCCCTCCAGCATTGCTGATTTTAACATCGCCGTCCCGACTCGGATCATCCTCTATGGTGGCGTGCTCATCGTGGTGTGCTCACATGCTAACCAAGGTTCCTGCTTAGGTCCTTTTTTCCCTATGTTTCTTAATCTCTTGTTCGCAGGTCGAAATATACCTATTGTGGTGAAGGTTAGGTTGTAGGGGGCTCCACAGGGGGGAATAATATGGCGGGGATAGAGTTCACTAGCGTTGGGATTATAATATGGTGCCGGCCTAGCGCTTGTGTTCCGCAACCGTAAGCAGTGATCCCAAGCGGCCAGTCCGTCCGGCTTTGAGCACGGCCGGACTGGCCCAGGCTTTTTCAGGGCCGGCCGGGCCGGACTGTGGGAAAGCGGCTTTTCCAAACCAAAGCCGGGCCCGGCCTGGGTCACCCGCAGGCCGATGCTCCCAGGGGTCACGTGTGTTTCACTACCAAGAAATATTTCATTATTCAACAGGACTAACTGTTTCATGCGGACAATACATATTCACCCGGAGTGGCCAGAGGTTGTGTAAAGAATAGTATAGTGTCTTGAGGTAGGACAGCATATTTGGGTACAGCGGGGGTTCATCGCTGGATGTCATGCATTTACCTTAAGCGAGATCTATAGGGTCAGGTGCATGTTGCTCCTGATATCTTGTTCCGAGTGATTAAAAGTGGAAAGCCTGCAGGCCGTCCATAGATATCTTTAGATTACCTGGGCATCTGGCGGCTCTCACCTAGGTTGCGCCAAGACTCGACCCGGCGGTTGCCTGGGCGCCGCCAGGCTTTGGCGGCCGCAGAGAATTTCGACCGGACTGGCCCAGGCTTTTCAAAACCAAGGCCGGACTAACCGGACTGCCGACCTGTAGTCCGGACTGGCCGCTTGGGATCACTGACCGTAAGGTTTCACCGAAACCCGGATGCATGGAGGAAGGATTCCAGGGATGGTGGGAAATACCTACCGACTTACCGGAAGAAGCAGTGATTACGGCAGTGGCTGAGGGCCGTTTCGGAGGAGTACCCTTCTTAGTGTATTCGGGACTGGCAGTTGGAGGAACATATAATACTATTGCGCTTGTACGCAGAGTGGTGAGGTCTCTCATACGACATTAGGCGGTGTGAGCCAGGGATTGGGTGGGAGGTTTCCTGCAAGCGGTATTCGAGTTTATACCGTTGCTATAGAATGGGCGTTGGGTTTGCCGTTGTGAGGCTCCTGCTATGCTAATTCCATGGATGGGTAGGGGTAAATGTCTGGGTGGACTCTCGACCTTGCCTCTGGCACGACTTGGAAGCAGTCGCGCGTACGCGCGGTCCCTATCGAACCGCGTATTTGTGGAAGCTAATCAATAAGTTAGTATACTTTAGTAAATAGCCAACTTTTAGTCAGCTCTCACGGGCCTCAGAAATGCTCCCACTCCACACTCTCATCTCTATATCTAAACGATCCTGGAGTCTATACTTGGAGAGAGGGAAAAGGGGGAGAAGGAATTGTAGGGGGAAAAACAAATGAACAATAAAAGTAAATAGGGTGAAATTCCAAACTAAACTTAGGTTGGATTATTTCCGCATAGCAGAAAGCGCCCTCGAACAACGCCAATCCAGATTAAAAACAGAAACTTGAGAATCCGATCACTGCTACAGAAGAAAATCCGGATGTAAGTTTGTCAGGGCGCGTGATATACATGTGCATTCCTACCGGGGACAATTCCCCCCACCAAAGAGGAAAGGGTTAAGCCGGGTCTCTGCGGCAAGGCTACATCCGGGAGGGAAGGAGTGACGGGAGATGCCCCGGGGAGGTGTTTTAAAAAGCCGGGTGTGGGGACGGGGGCAATGGTAGCGGCGGTGGACATATTTATGGGGGCTGCGGGGGTTATACCGAGATCGTGACGTGGTTGAGATGTATTCAAGCTGGGAAGGAGGTGACGTCTCCTCCGCTGTGGGCCGCGCTGGAGGTTGTTGATATTTGGGACTGTAGTAGAGCTACTACTCCCGCACGTCAAAGTGAACCAGAGCACTGGTGGTTTTGTCCAGTCGAAATCATCTTTTTTCTCATCCCAGAATGCACCACTTCCATTCATATAACATCTCACACCCCAGACCTCACCACTCCCACTCCAATGCCAAAAAAGGAATTGTGTTTTCGGGCCCCCCGTACCGGCTCGCAGTCCTCACTATCTATCCTACACGAATTTTATCTCAAAGATGGAACGGCTGCACCATCCGGAACCCGGTAGTAAATATACCCTTGGGAAATGGACTAATAGATGCCGGCCAAACCTCACAATGCTAGTGTTCACATGGGCACTATTAATGGGGCAGTGGACGGGGCGATGGAAGCCGTGGAAGCACCTCGCTCGGACACTGAGTGGATGACTACTCGTGCGCCTGTCCGTATCTAGATTAATTAGCTACCAATGGTCAAGATACCAGCCAACATCTCACACCCAACACCCCCCCTAAACACAAACTAGTTTCTATCACTACTAACTATAATAATACCGAAACCGCGGTGCCTGGAGGTGTAACTCCTGTGAGAAAAACCAGCATCACAGAAGATATTTGCTCCCAGCTGTTTTTTGTTTTTTTATTCGATGTTCACTTGACCAGATGCCACTTCAAGAGAGCAGAGCAGTATATGAAAGGCGCGTAACCCCTCAAAAAACTCAAAAGCCACGGCAAGAACGGTACGAATGTCACAACCTCACTTCGAGCTTGCTCTCGATTTTCATGTCAGTGGTCAATACGGAGTACCGCAGGAGAAAGACCCGAGTGATTTTCCATGATAACTCATCCCCACTTACTCCCCAGGGGCAACAACCGATTTCTATCTGACGCTCGCAATTGCACCAATCTACCCCCAAGACTTGAAATGCATAGAATCCCCTGGGGAACACTCTCATAGGGAACCTCCGTGGGAACCTCCCGCGGAACATTTCTTCCCGCTGCCGGAATTGTTTGCGTTAAAGTATCTCACGTGCCTCCCTTACATCTCGCGCTAGCAGCTCCTGCAACATGGCAGGCAGAATTGGTTTATTCCCCGCCCCCGCGCGCGTCCCATTTCCCCTTCTTTTTCTTCCTTAGGGAGGAATAAGTGTTCGGAGGTTAAACCGAATAGATAGTTTACACAAACCTACGCATGACTACTAGCCCACAAGCTAACTTTCCCATTTCATCTGCTTTTGATACGGATTGGGAACGCTACTAGACTATAACTTACCAAGAAATATCAAAGCCCCCATAACACACGCCGTAAATTCGTCATCCATGATTGGTTGGTCTGTCGCAATTTATTTATCCTTCCGGAAAAAAAAGCACCTCTAGAGGCGGGGGTTAAGCTACAGATAGACAAAGTTAAATATCTTACCCACGAGCATAATGCTGGCGCTTATCTTCCCGTTGGGCAGACGCATCTGTTCAAGATATCATACCGCTCTTATCATTTCCCTTGCTTAATAACTACCTAGCCCCCCTAGGTCCGCTGCCAGGTCAGATACACCCAACAAAACCCAATCCACGCCCAAGTATGATACAATCCTGTCCGCAGAGACACTGCCAAAGCCCCTCCAATCATCACTGGAAGAAAAAAAATCGGCACTGCCGGCCAGGTGGGGATGACAACCACCTTCCGCGAATTCAATACGTGAAAAACCAGACACGAACGTAATCACAGATCATCTATTAGCGAAGAATCAAAGGGCGGCAGGCACCGGTAGCATGTGCGTAATAACCCGTCGCGCCAGAGTACTCCCCAAAAAACCGTGGCGCCTTGGTCATAATATGAGGATGTTGCTGTCCATCCTCTGCGGCTGACGGCACGCTTTCTTTCTTGCATAATATGCTAGGAATAGGCCCCCCACTACCGCCTCTGCGTGCGGTCGATGTGGTGGTACTGAAAGGGGGGCGGGGGGGTGGAATGGCCCGTGTGGGAGAGGAGAGAGGTCGTCGCAAAACGCCGGAACGAGCCAAGGGATCTGTGGTGAGCGAACGCCACCATTTGGGATTTCGAGGTGTGCCTAGCTCGTGTGGGGGAACTACACTATTGTGGTGAGCGATAACCCAGGTTAGGATACTGTGCTGGGCCTCGAGGATTGGGTGCGATGCGGTTGCGAACACCGTTGGCTGGTGGGAGAAGATGAGGGAGAAGGGGAAGGGCTGGGTTAGGGTTAGCGCAGTGAGTGACAGCTCATGTCTTCAATTAAAAGTATACATCTCATAGCTATCATTACAACCGTAACATCATTACATCGCGGGAATCTATATACGCCTTAAAACCTCAACCGCGCAATACTAACAAGCATGTTCTGCAAAACATGCACCTGAACCGCAAGGACGGCCGGCAACAACCCGTCGAACCCCACCAGATCCTTAACCCCCTCGCCCATAACCTCGAACCCGAACCCTCTCCACACAATCCCCCTAACGCACCATCTAGCAATAGTCTCACAGGCCCACGTCACAACAGACGCGTAAAATGTGAGCTTGAAGTTGAACTCGTCGAAGGAAAAGTAGGGATACACCTCTCTATTCCACCCGTAATGCAAGGCGAGCACCCAGCCCAGCCACGCCACCATTGTAACGTTCTCGGCAAGCCCACGCACAAAGAAACTTCGACCGAGGTATTTCTGGTATTCAGGGTAGGTCTGATCTGTCAGGTGCAGGCGCGTATAGGCTTTGTGAAACAACGGGGTCATAGAGAGTGGGTGGTAGATGATAACAATACTCGACGATAACAATTGCAAGTACGCGAACTGACTTGGTGAGCGCAGCCGAGCGTATAGCGCGCGTACGTATGTCTGGTACGTTGTCGCAAAGTACAACTTAAAGACCCAGCCAAGGGGGTAGCTGCCTACCTTTGCGCCCAGGATCCACCCGGTCGTTGCGTCGAGAAAGTGGATGGTCGCGATCCAGCTCCAGACGTATATCACGGTTTCCAGAGATGTGTGCGGGAGTGTGCGCAGGTAGACTTCTGCGTAGGCCTCGCCGAGGACAAAGGCTATCAATGAGAGGATTAACGCGGTGCAGAACCAGATGAAACGTGTAAAGGAGCGGGTTAAGCCCCAGCGTTGGCGCCTGTTCCAGCGCAGTGGAGAGAAGGTGGCGTGGAAGGGGTTGCGCATTGAACGTGTGCGCAGCGCGGAACGGCGTTCGGAGAGAAGGACCAGAAACGAGATCAGGACTGGGCCGGACATTGTTGTGAAGGTCAGGAGGATCCAGGTCAGGTTGTGGTTTAGTAGTGATGGTGGAGAGAAGTGGTATATCGGGATGGCGAGGATGAGGGGGAAGAGGTTGAAGAGGGTAAACGCCGGGGGAAAGCCGAGCCTGCTGGGCCACCTGTTTTGCAGATTGTCAATTCGGATCACTCCCCGTTGCGGGAGGGGGTGGTACCAATTCACGGAATAGAGGTTGAATAGCTTTGTGATCCATAAGAGCCCGACGAGGTTGTAGAACGCGTAGTACCAAAGCAGGAAGAACCAGAAGTTTATGCGGACTACCCCTTCTCCGTGACCAGGTCCACCGCCTCGTTGGTGCTCCTCTCCATCGATATCGCCGCGAGAGACGAGTGGGTGGAGGGAGGAAGATATCACATCACGGATCGCCGATGCGTCAAAGAGGTTGTGAATAGCGGCCCATAACACCTCGAGCAAGCCCTTGCCACGATAATCTACGGGAACTCGCAGGGGTGATAGGAGCGCGTCTACTGGTATCGCGGGTGGCGCGCGGAGAGGGTGCTTTGGAAACGGAATACCGCACCAAACTATGGTCTATGATAGCGCACCCTGATTATCAGTCCAGCTAGTAGTGACCCTCACGATGTGGGGGCTTACTATTCCGGCCGGTAAAACCACCAAGACCCCCAACCGCCGATACCATCTCTCCATCATCCAAGCCACAGTCTTCTTCCTAGGACTAATTAGCACCCTATCAAGCCACCAGCGCTCATCAATACCATCATCCTCATCATCATCGTTCCTCACTTCGTTTCCTCCTCGTGAAATATCAATCGCGCCATAACCCCCACCACCGCCGCCGCCCGACAGCAGCGGCCTCGTCAGCGCCGAAGTCTCCGGAAACGCCGTGAATAAACTGCCCACGTTCCTCCTCTGTTGCTGCTGCAGGTGCAAAGGTATGGCCCTGAAGCGGCCAAATCGTAACGACTCCGTCTCCGACGGCGGAAGTGAGCGGGTATCGGAGGAACCTTGCTGAAAAGTGAAGAATGAAGGCATTATATGCTTATCTATATTATTACCGTCGAATGGGCCGTGGTCTTGAATTGGCTATGTACAAGTGGTTGGCCGGTTGGCGTACTCTGCGACGGGCAGAGCGGAGATCAGATCAGATAATTGGGAGGGATGAAAAGAGATGTTTTTCCTTTTCTCTACTCTTGCCAAGAATGTTTGGAGGGAGGTTGCAGGGGTGTGTGGCTGCGTGCGTGCCTGGTCCAGGCGGGGCTATTCACCGTAAGCGAGAGGCCCAGCGCGGGGTCGATGATCTCCCCCACGCTGGTCGTCCTCGCAAGGGGACGGTGGGGGTTCTTCCATTTGAGGCTGACAGTCATTATCGTGACTGGGTGAGGGCGACGAAAGGCCAGAGAGGTCAGGTGTTGGGCCGCGGACGACTGTCCTGGATAAAACGGTAGCGATGATAGAACACACAGCACGAGTACAGCAGGTTTGGACCTTGGCTCCCTCCTCGGATGTTGTTGTGAGGCGTTGCCGGGGCAACTATCCTGGTGGGATGGTGGGGGATTTTTAGGAGACGGTTGTAAGCTTGTAGCATACTCGGTTGGTAATGGGTATGCTTCGAATTAATCATGAGGTATTACACAGGCAAAGCGACTTTAAATCTGAAATTTGGGGGGGGGGGTCCAGTTTTCAATGGAATACCATCAATTGAAAATAGGGGCTTTTGCTTGTTTTTGGTGTGAAATGATCCAATCAAAACTTTTGCCCACCCGCCGCAATACCTTGAGAACTACGGTAGGCCTCCCAGTGTTCAACTAACGTACCGTACCCCTCGGAATTCCGCTTCCCCAGGCATTTTGCGTCACTTTGCCCACCTGCATACGATATCAAGTCTGACACCAAGCCCTCGGGAGTTGGGGGAAGCCGGATCCCGAGTACTGGTTGTGGTTCTCAAGCTAAGAGGGGAAGAGGGGTTGAGGAGTGATATACTGTAGATGGGGTGATATTTCTTGGAGACCGTGTTTCAACTCGCAGGAGTCTTTCCTCTGAATTCCCGGAAGCTCCGACCCCCCAATCTCACCGCCCCTTCTAGGCCCGCCGGCTGTTAGGTATCCCCTTCACACGCAGTCACTCATACCCTCTGCCATTGCCTTCTCCTTTGGTGATGGCACTAACACTTCCAACTCAGATCGCCCCATTTTTCCCGGTTGCCAATTCAGCAGAATCCTCGGGGGTCCCTTCCAGGGTTTCTAGCCTATCCTTGGGTCCTCTTCGCATTGTCAGCATTCGGACTCGGCCTTTTGGATACCCTCTTCTCTTCGGTCACGGAGGCCACGGAAGGGGAAATGCTGAATCTTGCTCGTGGCGGAATGCGGGGGGGGGTGGGTCTGGCATCCACCCCAGCATTGGGAATGAAATTTGACTGAAAGGGTACGGTTTAATTATCATCCCTCTTTGAAAAAAGGGGAACTGGGGACGGGCCCGAGCTGTGCTCGAGTACCGTACACCATAAACGTGAAATCCTGTCTTTGTGGGTAGTAATTTACAGAGCTGGCCGAATTGAAGAAGGGTTGGAAATGTCCGGGATATATTGGGTCATGCCAGGGCAGAGCGGCGGTCACCGAGGGATTCATCAGCAATAAAGGCAGCTCTGGATCCCAGTACCCGATAGAGCTGCGGGAGATAGGCCGGTATGTTGTGTCAAGATGCTCTCATTATGATATGTTTTAATTCTGCTCCTGTCTTTGCCCCTAGTTTGGAACGGGAGGGGGCAAGGCAACCAACCGTGTGACGTACCAGTAGTCACCTACCTATTCCCGAACAGGAGCGGGTATAGAGTGTATAATCGCCTCGCTTCACTGCCGGGGCCCTGATAGTTACCTAGAGAGTTTGCTGATATAGTCAGAAGGGCCTGGTCACGGGGTTGGGAGATATCTGTTAGAGTACCTCGGACCCCGAAATGCTCTGACTCGCCCAGGCTTTACACAGCTAGAATTTACAAAGCTCGTAACAGCAACACTAGAGCCATGTGATACTGTGCCCTTATTCCACGGGCAGCTCGCAGCTTCCCATACTTGCTACACCCCTGCGATACGACCGAACCGGGGAAGGTGAGCACCCGGAAAGATTGCCTGTGGTATAGGTGTTGGGTATGAAGCACCTGGATATCTGGGTCCGGGTACACAGTGCCGGTATGCACAAGAACTCAGATGTAGATAGATAAGCTGCCGCACGAACCCCTGTCCCCGCTCTCGGAACATGGTGGCCCTGTGTTGCATGGTCTTTCGGAGGTATCAGACGGTGGAATACCGGCTGTTAGGGTAAGGACTTGTTTTGGTTCTTGGGGGGGGGGAGGACATTCTGAGCGCCTATTGTGTGCTTGAGAGATGAATTGGACTGAATTGAGGGTAAACAATTGGCGTTGCGAATTTTTGGTTGGGCTTCTGCGGTGTACCATATTTCGCCAACTCGCTAAATTAGGCGGCGCCTTCCCCAGTTTGACCTCCCAGACGACGTGGTTTAGGGGTTAGCCTTGGGTTGATAAGATATCGAGACTTCTCGACAGCGGTTTAAACAATCTCTCTACTCCTCCTCTCCCAATTACTGAGCATTCCGGGGAGGTTTTTCCTTCAAGCTGATACCCGCACCACCCACGGAGACACCCGGTTCGACCGGTTAACAATAGGGTATGCGAAACTGATAGGCCTGCTGCGGTGGGTGACCCTGAGCTGGCTCAACGAACAGGAGGGTATGATGCCAGACGTTTAAAGCCCGTGCAACGGTGGGTTCACCTTTGTTACGCCTGGATTTGGAAAGAGTATGGGGTTTCAGATATGATACCAGCACAAGTACCGGTGCCTGGGTTTTAGAGGAAATATATTCAACCCCATCCATGCTGAGTGTTTTTGGCCCATTTCGATCATAAGTTTACTACCTGCGAGGAATACACTCAATTTAACGAAACTTCAATAGTTAGATAATAACTTATATTGGAATTGATCTTTCAGTCGTAACATGGGCGCAACCATGCTACGCGCTTTACACGCTTCGTATCATGCAACGAATCAGCCATATGGAGTCAATATTGACAAGCTTGCTCATCGAACCGTCCCCTTCACTAAATCCTCTTATGGTCCACTTGGATACGGTAAAATTGCCCAAATGCGTGGGCCAGATAGGGAATCGTATCTTGGTGGAATCCGATATATTACGCTGTGGTGCCGACTGATCATCACTTGAGCTGGAAGCTCTCTAACATTCTCATGCGAGTAGTGATTGATCCGGGCACAGTACAGTACTCGCACCACTCTGCTAAACTCGGCAGTATGGAGAATTCCACTGACGCCCTACTCAATTAGAAGAAACCCACCTTCCTCCTCTTTGTCCTCCCAGCTCTCTACATCGCCTACCGAGTAGCTACCCGTCGAAAATCCGCACTCCCGTTCCCACCCGGCCCGATCCCTCTGCCGATAATAGGAAATATCCACCAGCTCTCCCCGACGGACCTCCCCGATCAATATGCGACCTGGACGGCGCAATACGGTCCAATATTTAAGCTCCAGCTCGGCAGTGCTTTGGTAATCGTCCTTGGAACTGTGGAAGCTGTACGAGACTTGTTTGTCAAACGTGCAGCAAAGTACTCTGGCCAGTAATCCCCCCATCCAGCTATGTCCGAACACACAGCTAAGAGGTAATATAGCCCCAGAGGAATTTTATTGAATGCTAACTTCAGTCGTAACCTCCGTCCCCTACTCCTGCACGACATGCACCCCCATTGGGGACTCGCCCGCCGCCTATATACCGCCTTCCTCAGCAATACTGAGAGCACAAAGTACCAACAATTGCAGGAACTGGAGAGTCTACGGACGATTGTGGACTTTTTGGACCGCCCAGATGCATTCGTAAAACATGTGCACCGCTTTGCAGCACCGTTGATGTACAAGCTATGTTATGAGAAGCGGGTGGTCACGGGAGAGGAAAGTGAAGTCGTGGAGATAGACCAGATGTTAATGAAGTTTGTACAGGCCGGGGAGCATGGGCGCTGGACAGTGGAAGCATTCCCGATATTGGAGTGGCTACCGAAGAGATTCGCAGGATGGAAGAGGGAGGGGGAAGTGGGTTTCGAAATCGCAACTAGGATATATTTAGGCAATTAGCAAGAGGCAAAAAAGAGTGAAGGGGATAGCTGGGTCAAGAAGGTGCAAGGGACAATTTTACGGAAACGTTATCGGAAATTGAAATGGCGTTTACCGGTACTAACCACTTTCCTCTCACTTTGTATCGTGCCATGTCTAACAGATTATAGTGGGACTACTCTACGAGGGCGGAACGGACACATCATCCGGAACCCTAGAAACCTTCTTTTTGATTGCCTCAAGGTTCCCTCCTTCATCCCTAAGGCACACGCCACCCTCGACGAGATTTGCCCCGACCGCGTCCCGAAATTCTCAGACTTGCCAAACCTGCCTAACATAACCGCAGTAGTCTATGAAGTCCTCCGCTGGCGCCCTGCAGTCATCGGCGGGTTCGCCCACGCGACGACTAGAGAAGACGAATACCACGGCTATCACATACCAGTCGGTGCGGTCGTCATCCCAAATCACTGGGGCATACACAGGGACTCGGCAGTGTATGAGAACCCGGCCGAGTCTTCCCCTAAGAGGTTCATGGTGGATGGAGTGGCGGACGGGTTAAAGAAGCTTGTCGCTTTCGGGCTCGGGAAGAGGGTTTGTCCAGGACAGTATCATATCTCGCTATGCAAAGCTTGACCATTGTCATTTGTAGGGTTCTGTGGGGGTTTGATATTCATCCAGGGAAGGAGTAGCAAGGGGAGTTTACCCATGGGTTCATGTCGAAGCCTGCGGGGTTGGATGTTCACCTTTCGCCGAGGGAGGGCAAGAAGGAGATCATTATGAAGGAGTGGGAGGCTGTTGGTCAGAGGGGGCGAGGTTTGGTGTGCCGAGTTGCGGGTCCGACAGAGTGTTTAGGATATCTGGGAGGAATATTCTCGAGGAAACTATTGTTTAGAACAATTCATTCTTCTTGAACCATGTTTAGTTGGTCTTATGATTCCTTCAACCGCCACTATATCCCTAGGGCTATTGAAAAGAACTCTGCCTGTCGTTCCCCAAACATCTACATTTAGCAATCCCGGGGGCCGCCACCAGACTGCCCTGTGTCCAAGTCCCCACTCCCACAAAAAGGACTCTAATCACATCCAAACAAATACTCCCACCAATCCCGAATTACACACTGCATGCCACGGAATACTCAGAAATAAGGATCCAGAACTGACCCCGGAACAGACATGCTAGAAGCATATGCCGGTAACTTACCTCCCGGACAAAAATAAGGCAGCACAGTCCCCAGTTGACAGAATCCCCGCAAATAGATATTTTATCTTACCACCCAAGCACATATCCCCCCAAATTTCCGCTCCGTGTTTAGAGACTTATCACCCCCCGAGTTCTCCCCCCCAATTCAAATCTATGTCGCATCCATCTTGAGGATAGCAAAATTCAACCCCCCCCCCCCAGCGGTTCTATCTGATCAGTAGATCCAATCCGTAGAATTAGTAAAAAGAAAATTCCACAATTTAACAATGATTATATAATTATGATTATCCTTTTGGAGCTCCTGTGATTCTGTTAAACCACCAGGCGAGTTTCCTATACGGTACGGAAACTTTCCACAATGTGCCAATGGTATTGTGTTATGTCGGGGTTAAAGCGAGTTCCGTGCGGAATAACCGGGGCTTAGTGTGGCTTTCCGCGTAGTAGCCCGCGGGAATACCGGTAAAAGGAAGGGAGGGGGAAAAAAAATGAGAAATTCCGGGACTCTTTTTTGTTCGGGGTGGTTGGTCTATAGGTCAAGGGGGTTACTCGACATGGCCCGTGGATTCTTTAAGAATTCTTGTGGTGGGGGCGCTATGGCGGGGAGTTCTGAATGGCGAGAAGCATATCGGCTTGTGGGGGAAGAGGGAGGGAAAGGAGGAAAAAACGGTAGATTCACTTGACTTGATCTAGTGAATAGTACTGTACTGCTTTTGTCTTAAAAAAAAAATGATTGAAAATAGTTTCCGTCACGGTGTGGGATAGCCGGAATGATCCCATTGTTAAAATTAGAACAACTCGCTTATCCTGTACGGTCGCAGATAGGAGTCGGTGTGACTCACACCTGCGACCATGTATGACACATAGATATTTCCTTGGCTGGGTGGCTGTGCACATGACTGGAACTTGGGTATAAAGGAACGGGAAACCCTCCTATGTTATCCAAGCTTCGCCCCCCATTCATACCCAGTCATTGAAATACAAACTTCACCAAAAACTCTGTTCTTGCCCTTTGCCAACAAAAAACACTTGTTTTCTTCGCTTCAGTGGTGGTGAGATATCTGGGTTCACCTAGTAATGCGCCCTGATGTCGGAGGAAATGACAGATACCTACTCAGCCCCGCCGCCCTCTTCCTTCACTAGGCCCCCTGGGAGGGCCGCCAGCTCCAGGTCCCTTAGGGCCTCTGCTCGTGCCTCCGCCAGATCCTGTGCCCTTAGCTCAAGGGTCGCCTCCCCAGCCCTCGACTCCCAGGCAGGTTCTCTTGCCCCCCTCGAGCTCACACAACAAGAAGCCCTCAATCAGATCTCCATCCTCCCTGCTGCCTTTGCGCTCCCCTTCCTCGTCGACGAAAACGACGCCCGAGACCTCACCTCTGGTGAATCCATCATTATCTCACTCCTTGCCAACATCGCAGTTGGCCTCAACTCGCTGGACTGCCGCCTCGGTCACCCACAGGAACAGGGTCCGGCAGTACCTGCTCCGCTCCTCACCGCCCTCCAAGGGTCCATCAACTCGCTCACAGCCAGGGTTTCCTCCATGGCGCCGCCACCCAAGAAAGGGTCCGAGAAAGCCCCAGCTAAAGCCTCCTTCACTAAAGCGATGGCCTCGGCCTCCCCCAAGCCCCCCGCCCCCCCTTCCAAATCAGGGAAGAAGAAGGCCCCCGCGGCCTCCCCAGCATTGGTAGTGGAAGCTTCAGCAAAGGAACCACACTCAAAAGCTCCTGCCACGCTACCCTCAGCTGTCCGCCGGTTCTTTGCCCCTTGGACCTCCCCCGCAGCCCACCAGATGGGTCCACGCATAGCTGCCACCTTCCCAGACATCATGGCCAAAGTGCTTAGGGAGGCGAACTGCCCTTTCCCACTTTCCTTCACAGGCTCCTGCAACGCCAAGGGGGCCGTCACCCTGTTAGTCAACTCCCCCCACACCCACGCCTCATGCTACTCCCCTTTCTTCAACCTTCTCACAAACACCCTCCACCAAGCCTTCCTGGTAAGAACGAACTCTTTCCTCCCCTTCAGGCTTGCCCCTAATGAAGTCCAACTCATCATCCATCGCATCCCCCATGATTTCCTCTCCAATGAGGGAAACGACCTGTTCCAGGTCATGTTTGAAGGGGTCCGCAATGCCTGCGAAGTTTCTATCCTAGCAACCTGCTTCCTCCAACCTGATCCAGCCACCAGGGCCCTCGGCAGGGCAACCTCGGTGGTAATAGTGGTGTCGCCAGAAGACGCCTCCCTGGTAGGGGACAACATCCGCCTCTTCTCCCGCCCCTGCAAGGTCCAAAGGGCCCACAAATCCTCGAAATACTCCTAGTGTTGGAAATGCTGGCGTCACAGCCACATTCAACAAGCCTGCAAAGCAGACCACCCCTCCTGTCCCATCTGCGCCCTCCACCACACCAGGAGCGAACACCGGTGTAAAAACCCAGCCTGCCCCGGAGAAGGCCACCTCAAACCAGTACCAGCATGCTGCGCCGCATCCCCCCTCTGCTGCTGCTGTTGTGGCAACCAACACCAAGCCTCCGACTGAGAATGTCCAGCTCGCCCTGTTCCCCCACAGAGGTAGGAAGCCCCGGAAGAGATGGACACCAGCGCCCTCCCCACTACGCCCACCGAGCCCCAAAACAACCAGCGGCCAGCCCTAAGCACAGTGCTGGGCCCCAGCCAATGCCTCCCCCGTCGCGTCCTCCCCCCACAAAGGAACCCTCTTGCCTTCCCCCCACCGGATGCCTCCAACGCCCCTCCCAGATCCCTCTTCCCCCCGAGCACCACTACCAGTACCTCCCTGGCCCCTGCCTTCCAATCCCTAAGCGAGGAAGAGCTGGCTCGCAAAATGTTCAACCCTGCCGCCTTCCCGCCAGCTCTGCCTTTCCACCCCCCCCCCAAGCACGACAAGAGGACGGTAATGTCTAGCACACCCACCCACGAGAGTCTTTCAGGTGCCGCTTCCTCCCCCCCCCCCAGGCCCCACAGGTCCACTCTCCTCACTCCACATCTGCCAACACCACTGCCTCTGCAGCTGGGATGTTTTTCTTGCTTTATTTAATGGTTTTTCTTCTTGTTCTTTCCCGCCGCAGATCGTGGCCCTTCAGGATCCCCCCTCACGCCACAGTAGCCTTCCCCGGTTTAGTGGCTACCACCCCCTCTCCCCCCCTCTGGACGGTCCCGAAAAGCCCAGGGTGGCGTGTTACCTACTCAGATCCTTTATGGAGGCTGTCCAAGTCTCCCCCCAGTACCTCTCCCCTGGCCAGATGGCCCTCAACATATCAGCCCCCGGAGGCATCTTCTTTCCAAGGGGTCGCTCCCTCACCATCCTCAACAGCTACTCGATCAATAAAGGCACCCGTGCCATCCGCCACTCCCTCCTCCCACGTGACATCTTCCCTCCCTCAGACCTCCCAGTGCTCTCCCTGGGCGATCTCAACATCCACCACCCTCTGTCAGACCCCCTCCGTGAAATAGACTCCCATGACCTGGGCAGATCAGCGTCCTACTTTGAGAGGGCCGCAGACCTAGGCTACTCGCTCCTGAACACCCCTGGGGAATACACCCGCTTCCCCTTCAACCCAAACCAGAGGCCTAGTGTGCTAGACCTGGCTTTCGCCAACCCCTCTCTGGCCCCATTCGTGGAATCCTGGACAATGCCTTTCCCTCACACTGGGTCCGACCACCTCCCCATCCTCGTAACCCTCTCCTCACCCTGTATCCGGCCTCCCCCCCCGGCGCTCCGCTGGGACCGTACCGAATGGGACCTACTGACCCCCCGGCTTCGGGACCTGGTCCTTACCTCTGCCCCTATGAACAAAGATCCTGCGGCCCTCGAAGCCTGGTTCAACCACAACCACAAAACTGTTACCCACCTCCTCACCTCCCATACTCCGATATCCTGCCCATCGGTCTACTCCAAGCCATGGTGGTCGGATGCCTTCTCCTCCCTGAGACGCATCCTCCACACCACCACAAGAAAGGCGAGGGCGCACCCTGACCTTACCCTCTAGTCAGAATTCAAAAGAATCCGCTCCTCCTACCACAAGGCGCTGAGAAAGGCCAAAAAGGCACACTGGGACAAGTTTCTTGCCAACACGGACCACAGATCTATCTGGTCTGCCAGACGAATGGCAGCAGGGAAACCGCCAACCAGATTCCCAGCTTTCCCGGGCCTCGAAGACCCTTCCGAAATCAATGAAGCCCTCCTCCACCATTTCTTCCCACCTTGCATAACAGCTCCCTCAGGACCCCCCATAGGCCATGTCCCCTTGGGTCCCACCATAATGCCAGACGAAGTGGCCTCAGCCCGTCGCTCTTCCTCCAACACCTCGGCACCAGGACCAGACAAGATCCCCTATGGGGTTTGTAATGAAGTGTTCCGGCTATCCCCATCTCTTATCCCGTCCCTTCTGTCACCACTCCTGCAGTCGGGCTACCTCCCCAAGACCTTGAAACAAGCAAATGGCATAGTACTAGATAAGCCGAGCAAGGCAGACTACTCGACCCCAGCCTCCTTCAGGATCATTGTCCTTCTCCCCACCCTCTCCAAAATTCTGGAAAGAATAGCAACAATGCATCTGGCCCCCCTGGCACGGGAAATGGGCCTTCTCTCCCCCCTTCAATGCGGTTGCCTCGCTGGCCTTTCAACTTCAGATGCCGTAGGCGCACTCACACATGAAATAAAAATGCTACAGAAAGCAGGCCTCAAGGCCTCATCACTATTCCTAGACATCAAAG